TCTATAGACACTTCCAAATGGGTTTCAAGAAAAAAATTCTTAACATTGTGGCAAGAACAGACAGTATATCCACTTGAATGTTTTGCATTGCAATGATGAGCCATGGTGGCACCATGGTTAGAGTGCAGTACTGCATGCAAGCTACTTCTGCTGACTGCCGGCTGCCAGCAATTTGGCAGTTCGAATCTCACCAGGCTCAAGGTTGACTCAGCCTTCCATCCTTCTGAGGTGGGTAAAATGAGGGCCCAAATTGTTGGGAGCAATATGCTGATTTTGTAAACTGCTTAGAAAAGTTTGTAAAGCACTGTAAAGTGGTATATAAGCCTAAGTGCTTATATTTTGTACCATTTAGTTCAATCTATCTTGTATACCTGTAGAGAGTAAAGAAAATGAGGATGGGGATATGCAGGGCCCATTTGTGTGTTTACCATTGTCTTCAAGTATTACTTCTACTTCCTAGGACTGAGAAAGAATAACTGGCCCAAAGCTATACAGCGTCTTGTGTGCCTAAGGTAGGACTAGAATTCACATTCTCTTGGTGCCTTAACTACTACAGCAAACTGGCTCTCTGCAAGCTTCTTTACCATATCTTAAGTCACAAAAAATGTTGAAGAGGCTCCAAAAGGGGTATTAGAATTCACTGGAGTATTAGAAGGGAGAGGAGGTAGAGTATAATCTATTATTGCAGACCAAACTGGCTTTTAGCCTTCCTGTGCAGTGGTTTTCCTGGTCTGGTTTACTTGATGACTGGGTATTCCTACCCACTGATTCTTACCCACTAGGTAGGAATCCTGGATATTCCTACCCAGTGGCTAACTGATGTATTACTTGCATAGTACTACTTGCTTTCCAGACCACATGACTTTAGTACTAAAATTAAAAACTACTTTCCCTAATTTATTATTCCATAAACTTGCTGGTTTGTGCTTGATTCAGTTTCATAATTTGACAAGTAAAAGAAATTATTTCTTGTTTGCTTTTGGTAACTCACAATGTGTGAGTTAGTGAAGGTATGCAATAGTTTGCAATTCAAATTACTATAAAGTGTAGAGAAAACAGGTAGTTGTGAATTTTATTAATGCAAGAAATAAGGAAACAATTTTTTAGTGGGAATACAAAACATGTGAGTTTTCTTGAGCCAAAAGCCAGGATTGACTTTTGAAATAGTATGTGAAGGGGCCACATTTTCAAAATCCTGTTTTTGGCAGGGGGGGAAAATGTACTTGATTTTTTTTTTTCATTTCCAGGAAAAGTAAATTACAGTTTTATGAATCACATTTATATGACTACCCATCTCTCAAGAAGTGACTCTGGGCAGGGTACAATGTAGTATTACCTTGTTTATGCTAGGGGCAACCAACTTTCCTTCTAGTTTAATTAGAGATAGCTGATAAGTGAAATTAAATCACTCACTTTTGTTTGTTGTTTATATATTCATGGTTTATATATTCATGATATAATAGATATAGATCAGGGGTGGGTTCTACTTACCTTTACTACCGGTTCTCAATGGGGCCGTGTGTGCGTGCTTCACTCATGTGTGTGCGCGCTCTTCTGTGCAAGAGCAGAAGCTTCTGCACATGCACAGAAGCATTTTGATGATGTCAGGGTCAGTGAGCGGAGCCTCCCGCCAGTTTTACTACCAGTTCTATAGAACCGGTGCGAACCGGGGGCAAACCACCACTGATATAGATAGATATAGTTTTTCTTTATCTTTAGGCAAAAGCATAAATGACAATTGGTCTTGCCCTGCTTGCTAAATTGTACATGCCTAACCCTCCCAGGGGGTTGGGGATGGCCAGTTTTGGATGCAGCTAAGTGCAGGGTGTGCACAGAGGCTTGGGGAGGGCAAAAAATGGGCCTACTGGAAGTTCAGGAAGGCAAGAAATGGGCCTGTTTCCCACCTCGAGAGGGCCTCCGGAGCATGGGGAAGCCATTTTTGCCCTCCCGGAAGCTCAAGGAGAGCCTCAGGAGCCCAGGAAGGGCAAAAATGCCCCTCCCCATGGTGCAGGAGGCCAACTAGGCCATGCCCACCATAGCCATCCCCACCCAGCAACCAGGCAGAGAACCCCTTGCTAAAAGTTTTGAAGCCTATCCCTGTTCCAGACCACACAGAACTGCCTGGCTGACTGTGGCTATTCATTTTATTAATGTCTCTAATTTATTATACAATGATTTTTGCCTTTTTCCCCTTTTTCCCTCTGGCCCCATCAACTTTATTCTGTTGTCCATAGCCATTTTCTGAGTGTTGCACTCTGCACTTCACACAAGACTGAAGGTTGATTTGCATGGAATGTGTGGCCCTGACAAAGTGCTGGTCACAGTATTTTATTCCATGCTTTTTGCCCATCTCTGAATCTTGCAACTCAGTTCCCAATTGTTCAAAGGTACATTTTAAAAAAACATGGAAAGGAAACTATACACTGAAGTATATTATTAACGAGAATATCTTGAATGACTCTTTAATTACAGAGTCATGCCAAAACAGCAGAATGAAATTATGGGAATGTGCATTTAAATTTGCATTTTTGAGTCAAACGTCAAACCTTCTAAGGACGATTGAAGAATTTAATGTTTTGTTTTGTTTTTTTTAAATTTGATTTATATGCCGCCCTTCTCCGGAGACTCAGGGTGGCTTACAATGTGCTCAGCAATATGTAGTACTTTTATGAGAATTGGCTTGATCACCATCTCCTGGGTTTATCAAAATTTAATCCATTGCCAGTAGTTTTTAACTTCTGACCATAATGGAAGCCAAAATTTCTGTTGTGAGTCATGATGTTGTAAACTGAGGCACTTGTGTGACCAGACAAATTTTACAACTTTTTTGCAGTTGTCATTAAGCGAATCATTGAATACCTATAGTTCTTTTTTTTTTTTGCCAGAAACTGGCTGAAAAAAGCAGAAACTGGCAAAAAAAAACCATCATAAAACATGGTCACATGACCGAAGAATACTCCAGCTAGCTGTAAAGTGAGCCATTTGCTAAGTGTCCAAAATGGGCCCATGTGACAATGGGTTGTAAATAGCTTTTGGGGGGAAGGCCATCATAACTTCAACTGGTTGTTAAGCAAGGACTAGCAGTATCCAATGCCTTTCTCACTGCATTTTTTAATTGGTTTAGTGTATATTAAAAAGGAACAAAGAGAAGGAGGAATACATTTACATGTAAATATTTAAATGTGGATATTTGGAAGTCTTAGTTGTAGATTACTATTGAATCAGTACTGAGTGAATATATATATAAAATCATGAGGGTCAATATCCCTCTATCAAATACATTCATTTTTAACTTGAAATATAAACTACTTAACCACAAAGTAAACATACCAGCAATTCTCCCTCAAAACATGAATGATTGTTCCAAGGCAGACTATTGAGAAAAGCATAGAAACCAACATTTTGCCAGTAAGTTATAAAGATCCTCCATAATGTTTTAAATGGAATTGTGTAAGCAGGTTCAAAGAAGTATATGAAAGTGATGCCCATTGAGGTTTTGCAAAAACATAATAGGTGTTTTATCATGTTTTGTTTTTCTGTGTTTCAACTGGTAGCTCTTTTATTTGTTTGAAGTGTACAATCAGAGTGCTGTCAGGTATTTTGCATGCACCCTCTGAAGCTGACATCAAAGGAGAAAGTTTCTGCACTGTGCAGGTGGTAATTCTCTATCAGTCGAGTTCTCTTTTCAATCAAAAGCTATCCACAAATAGGGGAAGTGAAATATGAAGGTGTATTCGGATAGAAAGTTGGCTTTTCATACACCTAACAGCAAACACAACACTTCTCAATAGGACAACTATTTGGAAACTTTGTCTGTATAACTAGAAGCTGTGGAAGTCATGTTATATAATGAGCAATATTCTGTACTTGTCTACTTAGAAAGTAAGTAGGGTCATCTAGCATTTACTCATTAATGTCAGGATTGCCATCCTGCTGCACCAGCCATGCTTCATCAGATGCCAGGGGGAGGGAGCTGAGGGGAGGTAAGAGAGTGGGATAAGAGGAATCGAAACTACTTATTGTGCCATCCTGTGAGGGCCACCAACCGCTTCAAGGTCATGCCATGGAATGCAGCACCATCCAGCCCACCAAGCCAGGGACTGTTACCAAAACAAATTGTTTGAATGTAATTGGACAATGGGAGATAACCCGCTGGGCAGGTGGAAAGAAGGGAAGAATTAACCAGATGTTTTGGGCACAAAAGTTAAGATCCGGCTTTTCTACCCTGCAAACACTTGGCTTTACTAAAGTGTACTTTCATTAACCATAGATTTGGGAGTCTTTCTTTTCTAACTGACTAACTTGGGATGGCCGACAGTTGCATTAAATCTCATCATCTCATCAGATGAAGAGGGAATGGGAACCAAAAGAAAGAACTAAAAGTTGGAGAGGAACTATGTGATATCCCATCATGACAAGCTCACTAGAAGCACATCAACATCTCCGGAAGGAATTTAAAGCTGTGTCTGAATTTATTCATTCTCAAAGAAGCCTGAATCTCTTTTCTCAATATTATTTTTCTCTCTCTTATGGATCTCTGCAAGGCTATTGATGACATACAGTATGCACTGTGACATCATTGCTCAAATGACTCAAATTATGTGCTTACATCAAATGTTCTGATAGAAGTGATGAATATTTCACAACTGCAACTTTTATGCAATGCTGTTTTGATGACTATCAAAATTGTCATTCTGGTGTCCTCATGATTTGAAATAATACCTATTGCAAGGCTATCAGAGTAATTTAGACTGAGTCAGAGTTTGTGATCATTTCAAAATGTCAATTTGGACTTTGCATTTCACTTTAATACTTGAATGGCATGTTGGGCCACCATGAAATGCACATGCCCTGATAAGTATTTATTGTCCTGTGTCTCTGTACCAGTGAGCCTAGGAAAAGGATGAGAGTAGATTCCTGCACACCCCTTCTCATATAGTGAAGTTTAACATAAAACTTTCAATTTGGCTTTTACAAAAAGAACATGCCATTGTTAAGACTTCTTCCCATTCAACAGATTACACGTATCTGGTACAATTTATTGATTTACAATACCATCTAGAAATATTACTGTATTTGCCAGAACAGAAAATAATAGTGTTGTCTGCAAGTAATTGCATGAAAATTGTTTTTGCTGAGAAAACCAGATGTGGTAGATGCACACAGCTGTATATGTTGCTGTTTAGAAGTGAAGGTGTTTTGATTATAGCTACTGCTTGGAAGGAGGCTGCTTTCTGATGAGATTCTTGATGGAAACTCTTTGTGCCACCTAAAAATGTTTTCAGCTCTTATTTTCTTCTCATCCATTCACTTTGTCCACTTAGTTTGTTTCCACTGAGTGCTGATTTAAACTTTTCAACTTCAGTCTTGTATCACTATTGGAAGAAAAAGAGGAATGTTTGTACTTATATATCTTGGTAGGTTCCTTTAAAAAGATTTTTACATTTATTATTTTTATAAATAATTCAAGGCAATGAAATATCTAATATTCCTTCCTCCTCCTATTTTCCCCACAACAACCAGCTTGTGGGTGGGTTAGACAGAGATAGAATGATTTATCTAAAGTCACTCAGTTGGCTTTCATGCCTAGGATGGCACTAGAACTCAGTCTCCTGGTTTCTAGGCCAGCTCCTTAACCACAAGACCAAATTGGCTCTCATTGTTCAAGAGTGAGTAAGAGAAAGTTGATTGATATATGCAAATGTGAGATCAATTAATGTTATAAATGATGTAATTTAATTTTTAAAACAATTAATTTTAATTGGTTGTGATTAATTCAAATGGCTTATGAATATTAAACACACATATACTAGTCAAGGAAATCTCTAGCTTTGGCTTCAACTACAGTTTGCAATCTAGACTGATAAGTTGGGGAAACTGACCTTTGCAACAGGTTTCAGTCCTGTTTTGTAACGTGTACCGGTATATGTCCGTTTTTTTTTCCTTTTCTTTTTTTTAAGAATAATAATTTTAAATTCAGGTAATCTTCCTTTCTGTAAATTTGACAATGTGTGCAAACACAGAGGTCTTTGTTATCAAACTGGACTCCTTAACACCTGCAGTTTATATCTTGCACCCCATTTGTACTTCCCCTTGGTCACGCCACCAAGATTTGGGGGCAAATTGCATATTTTACAGAAGAATTTTTTCCCAATGTTCCTTTTAATAAATAAAAACAATATGGGAATTTGAGACCTCTGAAAGTCCACCTCTTTTCTCACTGAGGACTCAGAATTTTATAATAGTATTTCAAGTCATTGAGGTGGATGTGTTTGTGGGGTCAGGATGTGAAACGGGCTTCTCATTCCTCTTAAATCAGGGGTATCAAACTCGTGGCATCATGGTGGCATCACGTGATGTATCATGACTTTTTCCCCTTTGCTAAATCAGCCGTGGGCATGGCCAGCATGTGACGCATTCAGCCCGCGGGTTACAAGTTTGACAGCCCTGCCTTAAACCAGTTGTGGGTTTCAAATTTTTTTACTACCGGTTCTGTGGGCATGGCTTGGTGGGCGTGGCATGGCTTGGTGGGCGTGGCTTGGTGGGCATGGCAGGGGATATTGCAAAATCTCCATTCCCACCCTACTCCAGGGGAAGGATACTGTAAAATCTCTATTCTCTCCCCAATCCAGGGGAAGGTTACTGCAAAATACTCATTTCCTCCCGATCAGCTGGGACTCGGGAGGCAGAGAATAGATGGGGGTGGGGCCAGTCAGAATTTTTACTACCGGTTCTCCGAACTACTCAAAATGTCCACTACCGGTTCTCCAGAACTGGTCAGAACCTGCTGAAACCCACCTCTGCCTTAAACCCTTACTTTGCTGTGTGTTATTGTTCTTTAATTGGTAGGGTAGGAGTCTTACAATCTGACCTAAGGCAAAAAATAGAACTATGTGCATATATGTATAACTGATTAAAGACAGACAGATCCACAGATGGACAGGAGAATGGATGGATAAAGTGGCATTTTAAATTTATTTTTTTTTAAAAAAAATATTTATTAAAGTCTTTCTAGGACACATGGCGATTTTTAAATAGGGGTGTAAAAGAAAACTTCTGTAGATTTTTATGTGAAGAAAGCTGTAAAAAGAACAGCAAAAAAGCAAATACTTGGTATTGGAAGGCCATCGAGATCTGGCACAGGGGTAGAGTGACAAAGTTTATAGGTGGTCATTGGTGCATCCTAAGAGGATGACCGGGATGCTGGGTTTTTAGTTTTAGTATTATGATTTTGTTCTTCTAATGGTGTCATGAGCTACTCAGAGGGTTTTTTTTGTTTTTTTAATTAGATTTTATATGCCGCCCTTCTCTGGAGACTCAGGGCGGCTTACAATGTGTTAAGCAATAGTCTTCATACTTTTGTATATTTTTATACAAAGTCAGCTTATTGCCCCCACAACTGGGTCCTCAATTTACCTACCTTAGAAAGGATGGAAGGCTGAGTCAACCTTGAGCCTGGGGAGATTCGAACATGCAATAATTGCAGATAGCTGAATGTTAATAACAGGCTTTTAGTCTGTTGAGCTATCCAGGCCCCAGAGTTGTTGAAGGTGGACAGCCATACAAACAAACAAACTCTGGCATAAAACTGAGTGTATCTTCAAACAGTGTATGTTAGCTTGCTTGCTTATTTCTTTATTTTTAGAAGATTTGTATGACCATCCATCTCAACAAGCAATTCTGGGAAGCAAAGAATCTTAAAATACATTTTTTAAAAAATTCCCAGCACAAACACAAACATTAAATGACACAACAGCCAAGAAAGAAGATATCACAATCAAGCATTAATAGGACAACTGATAGATGGCAAATCAAATCAGTTTGATTTGCATTCTTTGATTTCTTCACGCATTTGAGGCTTCAGGCCTGGGCAAAAAACAGGCCTTTAGGGCCTTATAAAAGTCTGGCAGAGTTGCAGCCATCCTCATTTTTCTGATCAGAATGCAATTTTGCACACAAAACAAAATTATTACATAAGAAAAGAAAATATAGGTTGCAGAAAAATAATATCAGGGTTAAGTTGCAGAAAAATAATATCAGAATTGTCTACACACTGATAACATGTCTTTATTTGTCACTTTCTTTAAAATAGACATATCTATGCATATATGCATACATGTTCTCTCTCTCTGTCACACACACACACGCGTGCACACACACACACACACACACACAGAGAGAGAGAGAGAGAGAGAGAGAGAGAGAGAGACCCAAAGGACAAAAGTACTGCTTTTCTAACACAATCAAATGCATCAAATTTATATTACTACACAAAGCAATTCTTGCTTGCATTTGCATGTCACAACTGATCCAGTCTGCTGCTATTCCGGATAAGTGATTTAGCCAGCAATGCATCAACAGACTATGAAGTAATGAAAGGAATGGTTATATCAGGAGCAGCCATCTTGGCTGGTATTTACATTGACCTTTGTGGAGGCTGGTGAAGAATCTTTTTTTTCTTTTTCTTTTTAATCAATTGTAGAAAGGATGACAAACACACTCCTTTTCTTTTCTTTTTTTTCTTGAACCCTTCTTGAAGATTAAAACTCACATACACACAGGGGAATTGGGTGCCTGTAGAAACTCTTCTGTTCTAATTTTCCTTCTCTGTTCTGGTAGCTAGAAGAGAGAATTACTTCTATATTAACCCGTCTTTTGAGTTCACAAGACCCAAAATGGCCAGTTTAAGTAAATAAGCAAGCTAGTATTCTTTAGACTTCTTTGGATGCATCCTCCAAAGGCTTTTTTCTGCTTTTATCAAATTGACCAAAAAAGCCCAAAGTGCCATAAGCATTGTCCCTTTTGTAATACATGCATCATCATGACATATGTAAAGAGTGATGGGGCTTGCACAACGAAAATGCAATGCTGCCCCCATAGGCCCTCCATCCTATGATTGCTACCTGGCCCTGAAATCATCAGGACTAAAGGATCGAGTTAAACTGACAGGAAGAAATCAGCCCTACAGTTGCTTTTGTTATGGCAAATCCTTAATTGAAATAAAGAAAAAAAAACCAGGTACTAGATCAGTAGATTATAGATTATAGTGTTTTCCTGAAAATAAGACCCTGTTTTATATTTTTTTGAACCCGAAATAAGTGCTTGGTCTTATTTTCAGGGAGGTCTTATTATTTTGGGGCGCATGGAGCAAGACGGGGCTCCTCTCGCTGTCTTACCTGATTTCCAGCTCTGTCTCCCTAACCCTAACCAGAGGAAATGGCGGGGAACGGCTGCACATGCATTTAAATATTTTTGGGGAGGGTTTATTTTTGAGGGGGGGCTTATTTTAGTGCATGCACTCAAAAGTCGATAAGGATTATTATCAGGAGATGTCTTATTTTCGGGGAAACACATTAGTTGGGTATTAACTGGGTTTTAATGCTATATCGGTGCTTTCCCTTAGCCCCAGTTATCATTTTGACTTTTGGTTGATGGAATTCAGTCACCTGTTATAAGGCATTATTTTACTTTTTATGTACCTCATCAGAATGAAGTCAGTGTGGTATAGTAGGTTAAGATGTCAGTTTGAAAACAGGGAGACCCAGATTCTGATCCACCCGTTGCCATGGAGATTTCCTGGTTGACTTTTTAGCCAGTCATTCTTTCTCAGCCAATCAAACTCACCAGAGTTGTTGTGGGGAGAAATGGATGCATGCCACCTTGAGCTCCTGAATGAAAATTCAAAATGTAAATAAACTAAATTGGGAGAGAGACTTTGCATAGCACTTCTGATACTCAAAAATATTGGAACTGAAATTACTGATGTTTGAATTGCAAGGATGAAAACAATTTTCTGGTCTCTAAGCACTCAGTGAGCAGAAATTGCATTACCATTTAATTCAGGTTTTGCCCCCGGTCACTGTTATCTTGTAACATTCATGTAGGGTGGGTAACATCTTGAACTACAATTCTATAGAACATTTACTGATTCAGACCTTTTAAAATAAGTAACGTTGCAATGCACTATTGACTTACAGCCATGCTGTCCTATTGCCCATCATGTACTCTGTGTTATTTTTCTAGCCTTGGCTAGTCACCCTCTGTTTCATGGGTGAACAAGTTTATTGTCTTTTGTTAGCATTCTTATAATTATTCTGCTTTTCTTTCTCTTCACTATCTTAGGGAGGATGAAATAGTGCCAGATAGCCACATTCCTTCTGCAGTCCTTGGGTGCAACCCAAGCCCTTCAAAACGAAGGGGAGTTTTGCTGCCGTTTTCAATGGGAAATGAGTTACATCATTTGAGTGGCATTTCTCTCTCATTTCCCCACAGTGTGATAATCCAGTGTCTGTTTTCCTGGAACTAAACTTATTAAGCACATTGGCATTATTTCAAAGAACAGACATGTTTTCAAATCAAAGAAGCAACCTAGAACTAAGAAGAAATTTCCTGACAGTTAGAACAAATAATCAGTGGAACAGCTTGCCTTCAGAAGTTGTGAATGCTCCAACACTGGAAGTTTTTAAGAAGAGATTTGACAACCATTTGCCGGAAATGGTATAGGGTTTCCTGCCTGAGCAGGGGGTTGGACTAGAAGACCTCTAAGGTCCCTTCAGCTCTGTTATTCTATTCTATTCTATTTGAGTCGAGTCTTCTTAAAGTCTTTATTATGATCATATACCATCATCATACCATTGTAGTTATTAAAAAGCATAAAAAGTCATCTAAAAATAAAAAAATTAAAAGCTAAAAGATATATACAATAAAACTTAAAGTATATCTAAAAGACAAGAGTCTAAAAGAAGGGTTAGGAGCATTAAATAATCCTCCTTTTTTATGACCTTATAGTCACTCTTTGGGATAGGTGAATACAAAACGCTATCATGTGGAGGACTGTATCAAGTTATATGTATTCTAATATGGTAAACTACAATAGGTACTCATTAAATCCAACTGATTCTCAGGCACAGGCCATCATCTGACAAATTTTGAGGGTGCAGCATAGAAACTGGCAACATTGTATGTTGAAGTAGGGTTGGTATCTGAAAGCAATAGGGTGATACAGATAGTACTCGAGTTACAACCATTAATGGGACCAGAATTGCCGGTGCTAACCAAGGCAGTTTTTAAGTGAGTCACACCCAATTTTATGACCATTTTGCCTTGATTGTTAAGTGAATTATGGAATTGTTAAGTGAATCATGCGGTTGTTAAATGAATCCACCTTCTCCCATTGACTTTGCTTGTCAGAAACCAGCTGCCAGTGGTGATCATGTGACTCTGAAGATATAGCAACCATCATAAATATAGGCCAGTTGCCAAATGTCCAACTTTTTGTCTGGTGACCAAAAGGATCAGGATGCTATCACAGTTTCAAGTGCAAGGATTGGTCATAAGTCACTTTTTTCAGTGCTGTTGTAACTTTGAATGGTCTCTAAATGAATGGTTGTAAGTCAAGGACTACCTGTATATAATTGTCCTTCACTCCCTGGGTATTTGTGCAGTAATTATGGCTACTAAGGTACACGTGCTGGAGAAGCACATAATCTGTTGTTTTTGGGGATCTAGAGTCACAGGGATATTGTTTCTCTGAGTTTTGGTCTTCAAGAACAGCTGAGGGGAAGACATAACATTATGCTAAGAAAAAGCTTGCTTGCATTTTTAGGACTACGTTTTTAAAGTACAGGTAATCCTCAATGTACAACTGCAATTGAGGCCAGAATTTATGTTTCTAAGTGAAAAATTTATTAAGTGAGTTTTGCCCCATTTTACAATTTTTCTTGCCCCATTTGCTAACTGAATCACTGTAGCTGTTAAATTAGTAACATAGTTGTTACCGTATTTTTCGGAGTATAAGACACACCATTTTCCTCTAAAAAAGAGGGTGAAAATCTGGGTGCATCTTATACTCCGAATGTAGCCCCGCCCAGTTTCTCAAACGGAGGTTTCAGAGACTGAAAAAAGCATCAGAAAAGAAGCTTCAGAAAAGAAGCCCCCAAACAGAGCTTCAGAGGCTTTTTTTCTCAAGCTGTTTTGGAGGGTTTCAGAGGCAGGAAAAAAAGTTTTTTTCTGAAACAGAGTTTCAGAGGTTTCAGAGGCAGAAAAGAAAGCAAAAAAATAAAAAATAAAAAAGCAAGGCACAGAGCTCACAACCAAGGAACCTGTTGCTAAAATTCACCTCTGGGAACAGCTGACTGGGGGTATTCCAGGAGGCTGATTCACCGGCCAATCAGCTTTTTTCTTATTTTCCTCCCCAAAAACTAAGGTGCGTCTTAAACTCCGGTGCGTCTTATACTCCGAAAAATACAGTAAGTGAATCTGGCTTCCCCATTGACTTTGCTTGTCAGAAGGTCGCCAAAGGTGATCACATGACCCTGGAACACTGCAAATGTCATAAATAGGAACCAGTCGTCAAATATCTGAATATAAATCACATGACCATGGGAAAACTGCAATGGCCATAAGTGTGAAAAAAGATCATGTCACTTTTTTCAGTACCATTGTAACTTTGAATGGTCATTAAATGAACTGTTGTAAGTTGAGGACTACCTATACCTTCAAGATATATTGCAAATACTGTGGGAGATGATGGATATATACTATAGCAATAGCACTTAGACTTATATACCACTTCATAGTGCTCTACAGACCGCTCTAAAGGTTTGCAGAGTCAGCTTATTGCCTCCAACAATCTGGGTCCTCATTTTACTGGCCTGAGGGAGGCTGAGTCAACCTTGAGCTGGTCAGAATTGAACTGATGGCAATCAGCAGAATTAGCCAGCAATACTGCTTTCTAACCACTGCGCCACCATGGCGCTGTGCTGCCTTCTGGGATTTGGGAGAGGTTTCTATTTCCATTCCTGCCTTAAAAGTTTCCAAATGCTTGGGAAGCAAGTTGTAACATCCCTTTCAAAGGACATTGTCTACATGTGCAGTACAGGGTAAAATTTTCTCCTCTAGTCATATAAATCAGGAAGAACATACAGTATTTTAGATTTTTTTTTCTGTATTATGAGGAATAAGGTTTAAATAGCTTAGCTAAATATTTGAATGGATGTATCCTGTTACAATTACTGTATGAATTCACTCAATTTGCCTTTGCCAAACTTCTGTGTTGACTATAGCACACCTGCATACCAATATTTGCATTTCCTTAGAATTTTGAACCATGTTTCGTTACTCAAAGGAAAGCACAAATGTGTACCCCAAAATGAGTATATCAGGAGAAAAAGCACAAGACAGCTTTTGCATTAGCAAAATGCTTCTTCCAGAGCACGCGTAAAATAATTGCCAATAAAGCTATTGGAAAAATGTCCTGAAGAAGCTATATCAATTTTCACAAGGAGTTTTATTAGAATAGTTTCATAAACTGATGCAGAAATAAGATGATAGGAACCTGAGGTCAGGAAAATGAAGCAAAATATAATGGGCAGTTTTATTCTTCCCTAATAAGCAACATAGATTATAGGAAAGAAGTTCTTTTGGAAAAGAAGATCAGCAGAAAATACTGATATGATTTAGATTTGAAAACAAAATATATGTTTTTCCGCTATGCAACTTAACAACTGATACATTGCATTGGAATGTTCAAATGTTTCAGCTTTAATATTGTTCTATAACCCTTACACTCCCGAAAAATAGATTGAGATGATGAATGAGAATGATTTGCTGCATACAAGCAAAGATTTCCAGTTTGTAGGGTTTTGAGAAATCTAATATTGCTCTTTCTTAATTCTTTTTTTTTCTCAGAAATCCTGAAAAATATTGATGATGTTACAAAGAAGTCCTGAACTTGCAGCCATTTCTTTAGCAACTGTTCGAAGTTACAGTGGCACTGAAGAAAGTCACTTAGGATTGATCCTCATACTTATGACCATTGCAGCATCCTGAAATGGTCATAAGTATGAAACAAAATCAAAATTCAGGCATTTAGCAACAGGCATGAATTTACAAGGGGACCACAGTTTCCTGGTGTCATGCGATTGGAATTTATGACCTTCCCAGCTGGTTTCCAACAAGCAAAGTCAGTGAGGGAAGCCATATTTGCTTAATGGCTGCATGATTCATTTAACAACTGCAATGTTTCACTTAATAACCATGGCAAACAAGGTCATAAAATCAGGAGCAACCCACTTAACAATCACTTTGCTTAGCAACAGAAATTCTGGTCCCAATTGTAATCATAAGTCACGGATTACCTGTATTGTGATCTTTACCCCATCCTGCTTCAAAACCATTTCTTCCCTTTTATTTTGTTGACCTCAGATGATGCCAGCTAATTATAAATCACATAATGAACCTCAAGATGCATCACCATATATTGCTCTGCAACAATATCAAGGTGAGCAAATGAAGCCTATTGAGAATCACATTATAGCTTCCTTTTATTACCAACTCTTAAAGGACATCAAGAACGATGGGATAAATCATATAAGGAGAACTGAACTGAATTGCAGCTCTTAAGACAAATTAGGACAATGAATTACAATTCAGGAAATTTGAAAAAAAAAGTGGGGTTTGGAATCCAAAGGAAAATTGCAACTAAATCATATCCTTTCCACAGATTTTATTTAACAACCCCTGGTTGTTAAACACATACACAAATATGTGCTTACATTGAGAAGGTGTT